ACAAGAAAATGAGAACTGAGGTGCCAACAGAGACTTGTACACCAATATTCAAAGCAGCGTTATTCACCATTGTAAGAATGGAAACAGCCCAGATGTTCAACCACAAACAAATGGAAAGGTGTGGTACATTCACACAATGGAATACTACACAGCATGCAGGAACAATGATTTTGTAAATTACTATTGGGAGAGACTGGAGAGCATTATTCTGAGTGAACTCAGTCTCATAAAGACAAATACTGTATAAAACCACTGTTATAGAATATGTAAGAAGATCCAAGGGGCAGGGGTGTGAAAGCAGAGGGATGAGGATAGAGTGTGTGTGTGTGTGTGTGTGTTAATTATAGGGTTGCACTATTTGATGGATGGGTGGGTGTGTCGGACAGTGCAATTGACACAGGACAGAGCAGGGTTTAGGGCTGTTGTACATAGGGTCACTATGCACATAACAACAACAACAACTACATGTGCATGTGAAAGTTGAACAACAAATAAGGATGACCTAAGGAGCTCTGGTGGCTTAGTGGCAAGAAGCTGCACTGGGATCTCAAGGCGTGTGGCTTAAGCTGCTTCAAGGGAGAAAGATGGACAATCTCCTCCCTTGCAATTAACTGCCTCTGAAAACCCACCAAAAGGTCAGCTGTGGGTCAGTTCTCACTTGATGGCACATAACAACAAGAAGAAGAATTAGTGCCTTTGCATTATGTTGTCAAAGAAAGCTGACTGGACTACAAAATAACAAATATGTTTTTGAAAGAAATACAGCCAGTGTGCTTCTTAGAAGCAAAGATAGTGGGACTTTGACTCATATACTATAGGCAACAGGAGGCATTAATCCTTACAAAAGGACATCATGCTTGGAAAACTAGAGGGCCAAGTGAAGGAAAATTAGACCCTCAATAGGATGGATTGAAACAGTTGCTGACAATGGGCTAAAACTCAGCAGAGACTGTTAGTATAGAGCATATGAGTCATGATTTCATTCCGCTGTACATATGACCCACGAGTCAGAGCTAACTGGACAGCACTGAACAGCAACAATGTAGATTTCACAATGTAGAAAACAAAAATTCTCACTACTGGACTGATAGAGAAAAGATTGAAATTGTTAACTGCTTCATTTTACTTGAATTAACAATCAACCCCCTGGGTACCAGCAATCAGGAGATCAGAAGGTAAGACTAGCAAAGTCTGTAGTCAGGGACAACTCCAAATTATTGTGGAGAAACTATGCAAGTTTGAAAACTGACGTGTACCTGATTCAGACCATGGTATTTTCAATCACTTATTATGCATTTGAGAGCTAGACAATGAATAAGGATGACAGAAGGAGACTTGATACCTTTGAGCTGTGGTGTTGGATAAGAGTACTGAATATTCCATAGACTGACAAATGAACAATTACATTTTGGAAAACGAGCAGACAGAATGCTCTTAGGAGGCAAGGATGGCAAAACTTCATCTCAAATACTGTAGGCATGTTGCTAGGAGAGGCTATTCCTTGGAAAGAACCACGATGCTTGAAAAGATGGAATGTTGAGTAAGAGAGGAAGACCCTTAACCAGATGGATTGACACAGTGACTGTAGCAATGGATTAAAGTATGTCAGAATGATGAGGATGGTAAAGG